TAGGAAAAAAAGAAGAAGAATTTAATGAAAATTAATTTTGAAAAGCAAAAAAAAAAACAACAACAACAAAATTTAAATTTATAGTTATTCAAGAGAATCCATGAGAATTGATGAAGTTTTTTGTTTTTGTTTTTCTGGTTGGTTAGTTGTTCGGACACTAACTATAATCAACAACAACAACAACAAAAATCCAAGATAAACATGGTTCATAATTCATCAGGACTTAGCGCTATACGAACGATGTAATCAATGTGCAATGAGTGCAATGTAATTTTTTCCTGTTTTGTTTTTTGTTTTTGTTTTTTTTTTTTTGAGTTCCGTAAACATTTATTATTATTTTCAACCATTTTCACCGTCACTGTGACTATGTATGTGAAAATAGTGATTATCGGGTTCTTGATAATTTAACACTGTATATTCTTAACATGTTTACTCCAATCTTTGTTTTTGTTGTTGTTGTTAAATCGAATTGAATTTACAATCCGTGATCGGTTTTTTGTTGTTGTTGTTGTTGTTGTTGTCGATTCTTTATTATTATTATTTGGTTGGTTGTTTATTTCGATTTCTTTCGCGAAAAAAAAACAAAATAAATAAATAAAACTAAATTCCGGTACCATTTCTCTTGGGTCTTTTGGTATCAAAGTACAAAGTTTGTTAATTTTCAAGTTGTTTATTTTTATTTTTTATGGTTGTGAGTAAGGAGTGTTTATCCCCCATACATTCGACCGTTCCAACAATTTATCAATCCTACCCAAAACAAAAAAAAAAAATAGAGAATACACCAGGACCACCGCCATCATCATTATCATCATCATCAGTTTTCGAAAAAAAAACCAAAGAATAACTAACTAACTAAACTAAACTTTAAAAAAAAAATATAAATAAACTGATTCAATAGACAGCATCAATCAATCTCGATTCGACTGATCCAATTGAATCCGATACAAACACACACAGCATCTGCAGCAACATCAGCAATGATCCATATGGGATCCCAGTCATATCCAAGTGAAAAAAATAAAAAATTCCAAAAAAAAATAACATTAAATCCGCACATTGAGCAAATCGTATCAATGGAAAACAAATTGACAAATGGAAATTTTTTCTTTTTTTGTTGAAAATAAATTTCTTCAAAACATATAAAAAAAAGAAAAGAAATAAAGTTTCTTCGATGAGATTGATGTTATATTTCAAAGTCTTGGTGCAAAGAGAGAGAGTGAAAAAAACCCCTTTTGATGATGGTGGTATCGCATTAGTATTTTGTATCGAATATAAATGTGAATCCAACAGAAACATTGATCCAAATCACGATTGTAGCCATAAATTTTATATATATTCGTGTGTGTGTTTTTATTATGAAAAAACCCGAAGAAAATTTCCAAAATGAATTGAAAGAATGAACAAGAAAAAAAACGGAAACAAATAACCAAACAAAAAAAAAAAAGTAAATTGATGATATAGTAGTGATACGTGCCAAACAAGCTAATTGTCGAACGTGTGTGTTTTTGTGTTTGTTTGTGTGTGAACATTAAAAATTTAGGATTTTAATGTATGGCTGGATATCGATTGTTTTTTATTATTATTTGCTTTTACCCCAAATCAAAAAAAAAACAACATCAACTACAACAACAACAAACTATCATCTTCCTTCCCCTCTCCAACTCACAAAACCAATAGAGAAAAGTTTATGGAATCATTTTCGGGAAGAATTTTTTTACCATTATTATTTTTCTTCTTTATATTATCAGTGTTAACGGTACTCATATTGCAAAAATAAAAAAAAAATATTTATGAGAATCACTATACAATTATTGAATTGAAATGTTTGAAAGATTCACATTTGAATAACACAAACACACAACATTATTATGGTGGATAACATTTCAAACATTTTTGTTGTTGTTGCCTTCAATGATGATGATGATGATGAAATCCAAGAATCACAAATAACACAATTTTTTAGACAAAAATTTTGTTTTTTTTTGCTATTGTTCGATTCATTTTTTTTTCTCTCGATAAAATGGTTTTTCGTTGCTCATTCCTGAAATCTTCATATTCAATTTCGTTCACTTTTTTTTGTTGTTGTTGTATACGGATAATGTTCGTGATGAGGCCAAAACTAAAACTCGGAGAAAAAAATTGGATAGATAGATACCAATAAAATGAAGAAAACTCTTGAAAGAATTTTATCTGGAAGAAAATATTTCGTAATAAATAGATGGATGGATGGATGGATGGATATAAAATTGTATTATTTCATTTTTATTTTATTATTATTATTATTATTATTTACCATGGTTATAGACTTTGGGAAGAATAAGAATGATGATGTTTTAACAAAACGAAAAAAGAAAAATTCATATTTGAAAATGAGAATTCCAACGATAATAATAATAATAATAATAATAATCATTATACGTGTATTCTCAAATTCCATCGTCGCTAGAATATGGATACAATCGTTGGAATATAGAATATTTTTGGCAAAGAATTCTTGTGTTCATCATCATCATTATCATCATAATGGTTATTATTATTTTTTCCATTTTTTTTCGTTTTTTTTTGTTGTAAACGTTCGAATCGAACAAAAGGTAACAAAAAAAAATAAAAAATTCCAAAGGATGGCAGCACAAGTTCGTACATACAAAAACGTTCGAAATTGGCTCAATGAAATTGTTTTTGGCATTCGAATTGAAAAAAAAAATAAAATGAGATTTCTCGAAAGCCCCAAAGCATCAAACAAATTATAAAATCATAATTTTCAAATGAATTAGATAAGACACAATTTTTTTCCATTCTGCAGAAATTGAGCACTTTATTATTGACGAAAAAAAAGTTTTCTTATTCAACAAAAAAAGAATTTTAACCAATTTTTATGAAAATATAATTTTTTTTTTTTGAAATTTCAAAAGAAAAAATAATTGCTGAATGAACACCATTCTCATTATCATTATCATCATCATCAATGAATGTATGTACAAAATTTTTTTTTCTTTTTGTTCCGATTGATCTTTTTTTTTCTATTTTTAATAATTACAATTATGTTAAGTGAAAAAAGAGATTGTTACCCATTGATAAATGATAAATGAAAAAAGAACAAATAAGAAAAAAAAGTACATTGATTTATAATTGATTTGAAATCAAATCGAATCAATCAATCAATCAAATTTATGAAAACAAATCCACAGAAAAATAAATCGCGTGAATTTGAATTTTGTTGTTGTTAATTTTATTGGATGTACGTACTTACAACAACAACAACAACAACATTGTAAAAATTGATCAAAGGAAAAGTACAGATTAAAATTACAATTTTTTTTTCTATAGAAATTGATACTTGTAACGAGAAAAAATGTACATCATGCACTCACAAAATTATAAAACTTTTATTGCAAAAAAAAACGAGAACAAAAAATAGGGAAATGAATTGATAATCTATTTTCACCCAACCAAACACACACACCTCTTACCCTCAATATATGTGATGGGTAAAACACACAAATCAAAATCTCAATCGAAAAAAAATTTAGGACATTTTTTCGATCCTAATTTGAAAACAAATCATTTTTTTTTTGATATTTGATATTTTTAGGGTTGTGTTAGATATGATTTCTTCGAACTGTTTGATTTAATGTACTTGATATATTTATAATGTGCTAGGTACATTATATCAAATCAAATCAAATCGAAAAAAAACCCGGGAATGTTCGCGTGTTAAAAAATATTCTTTCTTTCAATAGAGAAAGAAAAAACCTCGTTAATACAGGATGCGGAAACATTAATTTATGAAGAAAAAAAAACAAATTTTTACAATAAACTAAAACAACAAGGATATATATGTTGTAATATCCGGTCATGTAATGTGTGTTTGTTTGCAATCAAAACAAAATGACCAAAACAATGACCAAAACAAAACAATAAAATGAAATAAGAGAGAGAGAGAGAGAGTGGGAGAGAGAAACATGTCATTTCCAGATTATCAGAATACAGATGATGATTCGAAACAATATTAAAATCATTCGATTGTTCGATGTTGTTTTTTTTGTTTAGTAGTGGTGGTTAATCATCATCATCCTCATCATCATCAAAAAAAAAATCGAAAACATTTAATGTACCTTAACGGCAAAGTTCAACAACAAAAACAAGGATTGTTTAATTATTTGTCGTCATCCGCATAATCATTATGAGATTTTTGTTTTTTGTTTTTCTGTTCGTTTGCCAACAACCAGAAAAAAAATACATCATGATGGTGCGGATGATGATGATGATGATCAAACCCCTAACTAACCAACACAATGATTAGATAATTTGAATTAGTTAGTTTGTTTTTTTTTCTTTCTTTCTTTCTTTTTCTCATTGTGGTTTGGCAACGACAACAATAACAACAGCTAGGCAAAAAAAAATCCGGTTTTCTCTTCCCCAAAAACATCTTTTTTTTCCTTTATTTCACCCATCACTCCAAAAAAACAATCCTTGTTGCTTGTTTCCATGTGAGTGTTTCCAACCAACCTAACCGTATTCACTTGTAAACAGAGTGATAAACACACACGTATTACACATGATCGATGTGATCGATAATGATTATTATTGAATTGTTTTTGAATCAATTTTCCTCATATAATGAATTTGTTTGTTTGTTTGATTCAGAGAACTTGTGATACCGGTTTTTTTTCATCATCTTCATTTTCATTTTCTCTCTCTTTATCATTTGTTTAGATAAATATTCTTCTTCTGTATGATGATGATGATGAATATTTTGACCAACTAATACCACTACCCATTATCATCATTATCATCATGTTATGACTTCGTGGCAAAATTCAATGCCGACATACGATTAAAAATGATTATTATCATCATCATCATCAACATGAACCCATAATAATAATCATTTTCATCATCATCATCGATTTTTTTTGGCCCCCTTCTTCATCCCCACATACTTAAAATTGTTTGATAATAATTATCACATGGATTCAATAGATGTAAAATGATTATGTTGATGATGAGGATATATGTTTATATTATTATTACATGATGATAACTACCAACCAAACAGAAAAAACATACACTCCTCCCAATCGAATGACAATCACATGTGAAAAGAGTGTGATTAAAAAAAAAAAGTTTGTTAGTTTTTTTCTCTTTCTCTCTCTCTCTCGTTCGATATGTTCTCGAACAGAAATAATTGACAGCTGAAAATTTTTTTTGAGTATAAAACTCGGTGATTTGATCCATATTTTGATCCGGTGATTTAGTGAATGTTTGTTTGTGTGCAAAATTAATTCTAAATTTTGAAATCTACAATTAAACAAAAAAGAAAACAAAAATGTATCGATATCAACAACAACAACGAACTTTATTATCATCAATGATGAAAATGGCCATCACATCATCATCTGATCAATTTATGATGGTCAATCAAAAAATTCCTACTTCATTTGTTGTAATGATACAAATGAATCGATCAAAATCATCGTATGTAAAATCAAATCGTGTATTGAATGTTGTTTCGAATGTTAATCGACAAAGTTATAATGAAAAACATTTTGAGGTAATTTAAATAAATAATTCCTTTAGCAGACAAAGATGTTAATTTTTCTTCTTTTTTTTAAATTTTAGGCTATATTGAAATCACCTGTTGCCATACCATTATCAAGAAATATTGATTCAAGAACTAAAACAGAGAAAAAAATTCAATTACCATCAAATATTGTTATGCGTTATTGTCCAAATAGTGATGAAGATCAAACACAAAATTTGGCTATAACCAAAACTCGACAATTATCCAAACGTCCATTGTTATTGTTTTTTGGTTGGTTAGAAGCAAAAGAAATTCATATGGAAAAATATCGTGAATTTTGGTTTGAACGTGGTTTTGATATACTTTCAGTACGAACATTACCAATGCATTTATTATTACCAAAAATTGGTGGCCGTAGAAATGCTGAAACAATGATTAATTTTTTGGCTAATCATCATCTTGTCTATGATGAAATACTCATACATGGATTTTCTGTTGGTGGATATCAAATGGGTGAAATTTTTCTTTATTTAAAAGAAAATAAAGATAAAAATGAACGAATACGTCATATCTATGAATCACTTAAAGGTATAATTGTTGATTCATTAGTATATGCACAGGATTGCCCACCAGGTGCATCAAAAGCCATAACAAATCATCCAATATTTCAACCAATGTTGGAAAAAACTATTGATAAATTTTTAAAATTAACAAAATCATTTACATATGATCGTTATATTAAAGTACAGGATCTTATGTTTGCAAATGAATCAAAATTACCAGGTAAATAAATGTGTGAAAAAAAACCACAAATAACAAATTTTAAATACAAATTTTTTTTTTGTTTATACTCTTCTCTTCAAACAAACAGGATGCATTCTACATTCAAAAGCTGATGTTGTCAGTAGTATTACACATAATATTGAAATATATAATGGATGGAAATCAAGAAATCCAGAAAATTCTGAATTACATTGTTGGCATGATGCATTACATGTACTTATCTATAAAAAATATCCAGAACAATATACAAAAATTGTTGATGAATTTGTTGCAAACAAAACAAAAATTACAAAAGCAAAAATACCCAAAAAAGTGAAAAAACAATAGACAATTATTTGGTGAAATGAAGAATCATGACGATGGTGATGACGAAAACGAAATTAGTCAAATTCAATTTCCTAAACGGCCTGATTAATAATTGATATATGATAATTTGTACTTAGTAGATCTCTCGGTGATTTTTTTGTTTGTGATATTTATATATAAATATTTTTTGATATTTCTTATTTAATATTTTTATCTTTAATTTTACGAAATTAAATTTATTTTTCATTATTATAATCAAATAAAAATCTATCTGTTTTCTTGCTCAATAAAATTGAAAAAAAATTGAAAGTTTTCCTTTCCATTTGGTTTTGATACTTTGCTCATTGGTAACAAAGTTTGATGATTAGGTAAGCCAAACAAAAAATGTCTAATCGTATGATGATGATTCAAAAGAAAAGAAAAATCGAATAATCACATCATTTATCAGGCAATAAGAAATTTGCACTAGAAAATAAGCCAAATTTGCCAAAAAAAAATCAAAGAAGATAATTTCTTTGGAAACAAAATGCCGAAAATTTTCTCCTAAGACACCGATTCTATCATAAGATAAAAAAATGAATTTTAAACAAAAAAAATTTCGACACCATCAATGTAATTTTAAAGAGCACAGTTGATGCAAATTTTTATCAGACTTTTCGTGGTTGTTCACAATACATATTCTCAATTTGGTTTGAATGGTGAGGAAATCAAACAAGCAAACAACAACTCTCAACAGATTTATCTTTGGATTTATTATTATTTTGTTGGGAATGAAAAAAAAATTCTCATTATTATTTCATTATAATACAAATTGAAGAGAGAATTATTTTTTTTCAGTCCAAAATCAGATTTTCAATATAATAATGGAAAGGAAGAGAAACGAGAGAGAAGAATATTTGATCGACATTCTGACAGATTTCTCTGGAGAATTTTTCTGTTTGAATTTTTTGTTGTTTTTTTTTTTGATTTTCAAATTTTCAAATGTCAAATGAGTATTCTTTTTTTCCTATGAAAAAATTAACAAAAAATTAACAAAAGAGAGAAATTAGAAAAAAAACACAAGAAAAACAACAGAATTTTGTTTGTCATTTGAACAAATTAGCCTGACCAAATCCACACATCATAGATGTTTGTACCCGTTGATGAAGAAAAAAGTTCTCGACTGATGATGATGATGATGATAATAAGTTTTAGAATCATTTATGTTGCTTGCATGGACATTTGTGTGTGTGTGTGTCTGTATGTGTAAATGGCTATTAAATATTGAAGATTTTTTTTTTTTTTTTTGACCAGAGAATATTCTATTACGACTACGGACACAATAATAATTTATTCAGCTCATTAACTTTAGATTTCATAATCAACATGCAACAACACACAATCACCAAATATATAAAATTGACAATGTTGTGTTTTCGAAACTTTTTTTTTCTTTTCGTACCCGAGAATACTTTTGTGAATTGTGTATAGTATAGTAATGAACAAGCCGGTAACAAAACCCGACGACAACAAGCAAATTTTTTTTTGTTCCTTTGCTTGATTTTGAAATCAGCATTATCACAAACATATAACAACAACAACAACAACAACCAAATACCCGGAATTCGGGAAAGTTTTTTGTTGTTGTTGTTGTTGAACCTATTGAGAATTTTGTTTCCAAATGTAGTGTTGTTGGTTGTTGTTGTTGTTGTTGTTTATCATCATGTTTATTTTCAATTCAGTATAATTTATTCGGATTTTGTTTGGGTATTTTTTTATTTTTTTTTATTACCCACGAAAATGCAAATAGAAAAATGATAATAATTTCAAATGTGAATGACAATTAATTCAATACAAAAACTGAATGAATGACACCGGTTTCAATTGGGAATATTCTAGAGTATTCATGGTATATTTGTTTTTTTTTTGGGTTACAACACATTTTACACAAAATGATGATTTTAATGACCAGAAATGAAAAGATTTTAAACTGAACTAAATAAAAAAATATGAAAATTACAGAAATGATTTGATATCATATGGATCAATTGAATTGTACCGTGAAACAAAATGAAATATATAAAAAAAACTATGATATAATAGGATCATCATCATAATTAAAAAAAACGAAAACAACAAAACAACAAGCCAGTATGGACTATGGGAAAATCAACAACAACAAAATAAAATAGATTTGGCATCATGTATGCTAAACAAAACAAAAGTAGACCTAGTGTTATTTTGTTAACGAAATTCTGGTTCAAAGCATTATTCAGCTTTGAAAATTGGTTTAATCATCATCATCATCATTATTTGCATTCATTCATTCATTCATTCAATGAATGATTCAAACAAACAAACAAAAAAATTCGGGAAATTTGAGAATTTCCAAAAAACATCCCGGCATTTCATGCAATCATTCTCTCTCTTTCTCTATCTATATAATAACTAACTATTACTAACCGATTTAGTTTGTAGATTCTGTAGAAAATGAAAATCTTCTTTTGTTTTGTTTGCTTCGGGTTCATTCTCTTGATTCACTATTAGATTCTCTACATAATCATCATCATTGCAGAAAAAAAATAATCATTGGTTCGGTATTTTTTCCAGGGTTCAAAAAAAAATTAATAGAAAACTTTTTCTACTTTTGATTTATTTTTTTCATTTCATTCTTCTTCTTTGGGTGATTATATCCTTCTTCTTCTTCAAAAAAAATATTGATCTTGGCAATCATGAACCAAGCGAAAATAAAAAAAAAACTTTTGATCAATTTTTTTTTCATTTTTTAGAAAACCACATTATCCACATTGGTAGACAAATGAACAAAAAAATGGCTGAATATTTTCTATCGGGGAGTACATATAATTTACTTCAAGGTTAAAGATTTTCACTGTTTTCCAGAAACAAAACAAAAAAAGAAGAATAATAAGTAAGCAAGAATAGAAAGAAAGAAAGAATGAAAAAAACCATAAGACAACAATCTTTGGATTCAAAAAAAAAAAAAAAAATTCATGTATATAAATCATTCATCTTTTGTCTCTCTCTCTCAACCATACTTATAATATTGATTTTGTCGTAACTTTTTTCTTTTTTCTCCCTTTCCAATATTCATTCATTCTTTATTGTATCTGGGAAATTATGTATGTGTGTGTGTGTGGGTGCATCATAGAATGTTTTTTTTTCAATGAAAATCAACTCTTTACTTCTCTTTGTTTGGTTTGGTTCGGTTTGGTTCGGGGTAAAGATCTTTCATGATTTCATGATATCATTAAATTACCATGTCTATCTATCCATTAATCTAAAGTTTTTTTCTTCTTCTTCTTCTGAAAAGTATTGAATACATATTACCGAAAAAAGAAGAAGAAGAAGAAGAAGAACGACGGTAATTTGTTCAATGAATGCAACAACAACAACAACAAAAAAGCAGCCAGCAAATTTGAATGAATAAAGAGAGAGAAAAAAATAGACATTAAATAATACATACAATCTTTTCAAGCCTATCTATGATCTTTTATATACATGAAGAGAAGAAAAAAAGCTTCGTAGCTGATAAATATATTTCAATTCAATTCATTGAAGGAAAAAAAACTTTTTTTTTTTTGCTTTGGCTTTGGCCATTATGAAAAGAATCATTTGTGAAAAGAATAATGAACAAAAAAAAAGAAGAAGATTTTATCATATAACATCAAAGGTATTAATTTGAATATTTCAGTTCATTCATTCATTCATTCATTCATTTATTCATTCGATAACCAATAGATCGAATTTGTATTGAATGAAAATATTCCAAAAAAAGAATTTACTTTTATTGATGATGGTTGGAAATTGGGAAAAACTTTTTTTTTCAAGGAAAAATTTATCAAATACAGATACAAATTCGAAAGAATTCTAATACCTTGAAATTGATTTGTAAAATGGCCATTTTTTTAAATTGGATTTTCCTTCTTTTGAAATTAATCAAGAATTTACCTCAACAGAATTTTCAACGGAAATGATCAATGTTTCGAATGAAAAAAAAAGAAATTCCGAAAAGATTTCTGAAATTAAGTAACAAAAAAATAACAGAACAGAACAGAACAGGAAGATAAGAAGAAACCAGAAAGAAAAGAAAATTGCTATCATCAGCTAAATCATTCTTAAATATGAAATACACAGAGAAAAAAACAGCCAGCACTATGATCCAAAAACAGGATGGTCATCACATCACTTTAATGATTCTGGTTCTGATCAAAGATCTATTTTTTTCAAAATAGTATCATCATTTTTCTTTACAATAACATTAAAGTACTCCAAACACACACACACAAAAACACACACCAAAAAATGTAATCGGCTTATTTGATTTCGATTGGATATTTTGGTAAAAAGGAAAAGAAAAAAAAAATTATGGATTACATTGTTTGTGTGGGTAATAAGATGAATTGATGCTGATGATGAAATCAACCCAAATAGACCAACAACAACAACAACAACAAAAAAAGTTTGGCCAACACATCATATTGATTGAAAACTTTGAAATTTTTTTGTCCATCTCTCACTTTCTTTCACTCACTGATTCTGTAGACAAAAAAAAGTTTTTTTTTCAACAGAACATTATGGGATAATGGAACCATCATCATCATGGAATGGTTTGATACAATTTCCCCCCCCCCACTTGGTCGTTCCATACATTCAATTTATTTTCTTGAAGTTAAAATTAACGAGTAATTCGTATACAATTGTGGTTACCATTGCCATCACCATCATCATCATCATCATCAAGCCATATCACATACTTGAAAAGCAAGGCCAATCATTTTCAAACTATAAAAGACTTGGATTTTACACTCTCTTTTGCAAAGACATGTATGACATGCATTCATTGTAAATGAATCATACTATTATGATTATGATCATCATCATCATAAACATCAAGTGGAAAAGAAAATTTATCGGAGAAAAAGAAGAAAAAAAAATGATGATAGTCATGACATGATGAACAATAATAATCTACATTTCAAAATCTCAATAATAATAATTCTCTTCCGACTGAACGAGAAAAAAGTAAAAAAAATAAAACTATTTGGCATCTGAAATCTTGTGAAAAAAAATGTATGTAAAAAAAAGAAAGAAAAGAAATCATTGTAAAGA